CATGTGTTCCCGAATGGGCTTCCCAAATGAATGGCTCACATGTTCACTCAGTATATTGAAAGCTGGTTACGGTGCAAATAATTGTAATCATTACCATCACAAGGCTAGTGAGGATATATGAAAAATATGGGTTAACACAGAGCAATAATCATTTACTAAGCGTTCTCTATAGTGGACTGAAATCAAGTGATTCTCTTATGAATAGAAGAAGGAGTAGAACAAGAGTGATTCTGTTTTGCCCGGGGAATGAAAAAAAACACTCTGAATGGGCCATTCCAATTTGAGTTAGTCATGAGCGCCATCAGTACCAAACGGTGATTTAAGCCCTGTCAAATATGGATCACATGAGTTTTTAACGAAATACCTCAGTGACGATTTACTAACGAAGATGATATTGACTGGAACAAGTGCTGTCTACGAAAAGTATAACTCACCTGATTTATTGCACATTGAAACAAAAAATAGTAGGATAACGCATTATTAAACTGGTAACGTTAAAAAGTGTGTGGGCCTCCCTCTTTGTTTGTAAGAACATGTAAACTGTTGTTACTGGTACAAAATAAGAGGGACAAAAGAATGCCACAGCCCGCAGTTCTAGCATCCACACAACTACAGTCGAACCTTTCGTGGATTGTATAGAGGAAACGCCAATGTGTCATTCGTTGTAACGAGGCACCTTTTAACCATGTCTATTGGCGTGTGTTTCAAATAGTCAGGTTGCGAATTGAGGTTAAAGTTTTTTCACTATCATAATATTCTCATCGGAATTACTTTGGAAATTTCGGAATAGACTCAGATCAGCGAAGTAGGCGTACAGTTTGTCTATTGCACTATTCGTATCAAGACCACTTTACACAATATTGTGTTATAATGAAATTTTGTAAGCTTCAACGTTTTTGGAATATAAAAGTGCGAAATGCAGAAATGCTTGGGACAAACGGTTCCCTTAATGATTTAAAGTGCTACCAAAGGCCTTTATCCCGCTAGTAGGCTAAGTTTAGGTCTATGAACACGTTGGCGAGGAGTCAAGTCAACGGAATTAGGCTAAAGATTTAGCTATAAACAGTTGCATCATTAATACTCAGTGTGCAATTTCACTCTATGGAACTCCCGTTTCCGTATGAATAGTATAAAGCATTAGATCATGTCACATCGGTATATATAATATCAATAAGTATATGAAAATTATATTACATCAGTGGATTACGTAGCTTCATCAGATGGTGAATTTTGTCATTTAAAGTGTAAATTGATAGTGAAGTGAAACGCCAGGAAGTACTGGATGTTACCGCTGAGATGAGGGAGGTGCTTTGCCTACATTCAGTTTACAAAGGTGGGTTGTTTTGTGTCGTGTATAGCGAAACTGGAAACTGGTCTCATCAAGTACCCCATAACCGAGTGAGCAGAATGCGGTGAAGTCCCGGGATCGATTCTCAGTTGAGTTGATGGATTGACGGGAGCTCCTTTAGGTCAGAAATACCGTCCAGTCACAACAGGCTTTCAGTTCATATTTCATTTGCACCCGTCACGACGAATTTCACCATTTGTTAGTTGAGTTTATAATGCCATTTGAGCCCCTACCATTTGCAATTTAGTGTAGAACGATTGCAGCTGTATATCGAACACTAGATCACGTAACACTAATTCGTGTTCGACAGTGACTACAGTCAGCCTTGAATGCCAGTTTAATTCATCTAACTGGGACTTCTGAAATCATGCATAGTCCTTCAGAGTTCTAATTAAGGTAAAGTAGAAAAACACATAATTGAAAAACATTGATTGTGTTGCATCAGGTTGGGGTTAATAAATGGTGCCGTCCTCATGTGCGTTATCTAGGAAACCACAACCATAATAATTAGGCCAACTCNCCCATTGTCTATCACGGCAAGTTGAACACTGTGTTCTGACATAGATCGCCGGCAAATGCAGTTTATTTTGTTGCAAGTTATCCGTGTGTTTCATTTGAAATGGTCAAATGGTAAAACAAGGTGATGTAAATTCCCAAAATCGAGGAATGTGCTACAAAATATCAATGATATACACACGTTGATGAATGAAATCTTTAGGAATTAAAAGCTTATGCGTAATTGTATTTTTCGTATCGGATAGTACCAAACAGCAATTCAATCCCTGTTGCAAATGCACGAAAAAGGTATACACATCATGTGTGAAGGGATTTGGTTAATAGAGTGAAACCAAACCTGGGAAGAAAACAAACACCTCTAAATTTTATCCTCAGCCTAGGGCTAAATAAAACACTGAAAATAGGAGGACACTCAGAATGAGATGACATCATTGAGTGGGTTTACTATGGTATGTGCTTATCGTGGTTATGGCAACCGGCCTTTTGAGGAATGTCTCATTGAAAAAATGACTTATTTGCTGACGATAAACCAGTTTTTATATTTCTTTCGGTTTTACCAATGGCATATAAAAAACAGAACCATTCCAAAATGAGAAATTAAATATTGGATTCCCAAATGGAGAATATCAAATTATCCGATCAGCTGTTCGTCTTCCACTCTGTGCGTCGTTTAGGCAGCGTGGTTGTTACCCTGCAACCGGGTGTATGTTGGTTAGCAAGCTGCTTATGTTTTATACGTCTTGCGCGTTCAGCCAGCTGCAGTGTTTCATTATTTTTAGGTCATATGCTTTTGCCACACTTATAAAAACAACCTTGGATAAAATTATCAGAAAGACTTCATCAATGATTGAAGTTATTATCTGGTCTTACGGGAAGTTTGATTACTACAGTGGAATTAATTATGCAAAATCTATGCCCAAAATTGATTGATTTATTGTACATTTAGGAACCCGTTTATCACGCGGATTCTGTTAAATAGTAGCATTAAGCTTCGTGATTGATTAAATTTGTTTTCCTTTGATAATCTACTGAAGCATACAAAGGCATTCTGCTATGCATGACTATTTTATTCGTATTAATTCTAGATGTGAATTGAAAATCGCTCAATGATTTTCGACCAGACTGCAAACGATGAGAGGAAAAATTAAATTTTGGTTTTGGAAAATTGAACAAAACGTTCCTATAGCGTTGTTGAGCTTTATTAGCGTATACAACCCAACTGTGGCGTTAACAAAAGATGCAGAATTTTGCTCACGCAATGTGGCACATGGACTCGTCTGGTTTATCACCAAGAAATATAATATATTTCGAGCCATTTAGGGAGTATAGTTGAATATCATCAGGTAACGTGTTGTCTCAGATCTTGATTGACGGTAAATGCATGTACAGCTTTTAAAGGACATGAGAAACAGTTCAAAATGTGAATGCGAGCAGGACCATGAAAAAAACGACCAGAGTTTTATTTTAACTTGAGATCTTTAATAACGCTACATTACCTGCACATTTATTGGAAGAGAATATAGCATTTGAACAAAGATAGCATAATACGTTAAAAGAATACAGGAATCGGGGGACCCTCAAATCGCATGTGGCCAGCTGAAATAACGTGCAGGTAAAAGTAGCACTTTTTGATTTGTCAAAAATGGTTCATCCGTTAAATAAGTTGATCATATGAGCATTTAAACCACTATAACTTTTAGAAGATTATTGAACGAGAAGCAGAAGAATTTTCAGGAGAACAACTACTTTACATAAAGAATATCTATTTTAATATATTATGATATGATTATTTGGATACCTTAGTGCCGATATGTTTGAAATTTTTTCTAAGTAGAAAATCAGCATTGGAGTGTTTCAGGTATATGCTTAGGAGGTTATCCAATTTAGTGTCGGTTTGGCTAATTTGGGTGTCGATGAACTTCGTTATAGATCACTTTCACAACTATTCTCGAAGAGCAGCAGTACTAAAATAAATTAGATTATTATAAGAACGTTCTGCAGGTCTCGTCATTATCCTACGTGAATATATTCTTCTGATGTGCATGAACCCGTCTATTTGATTGCGGTATTAACTGGTCTCACCGTCGTCTGCTTTTTGTAAAATCATCCATCGAGTCTTCGTTTGCATTCCGGAATTTTCTTCACTCCCCTCCTCCCTCGCAAAACCGAATTATCGTTGATAACGAGGAGCGTGAATCGTTTATGTTCTTCTGTTCACGCGAATACTTATCTGTCTCTTAGCTCAATCGACATATTAATTTGTGAAAAAATCATTATTGAGCAATGTCCACACTCATTGTTATGAATTGAATAATCCTAGATTGTGCCCCTGTGAATTTGATACTGACTAAAGCATAACTTAATCGTGCAAACCTATGGCACTGATTATTGGACACCGTAGACGGCGTGTGACTGCATCTCTTTGCTAGCGTCTGTCTACATTGCCCACTATTTTAGCCCAGGTGAACATCTAACTTTCCCAATCAATCAATCGAGTAAGCAATAATAAATATTGAGATGTTATTCCTAACTGGGAACTACTAGTGAGGTGTTTCAGCAATCTCTTTGGCGATATATGCGTTGACGGCTAATTCAAGTTCTGTTGACATCGTATCTGTATGAAGATCATTTGTTCATACCATCTGTTCGGAAACGGAGTAATAATAATAATAACAATCATATTGATAATAATAATAATAAATTACATCGACACGTTGAATCAGAGAAGTTCTCAAAATACACGGCCAGAAATCAGGATGACCATTACCCTTGATTGAGAATTTAAATCCTTTGGGATATTACGCGAATTAATATCAAAATGTTCATGAAGGAGGTTAAATTGCTCTTGAATTTGTGTGTCAGTAAGTATTAAGATGGATTACGTGAGGTTTGCTATCGTCTTGTTCATCAGTGAAAATCCAGTTCCTAAGGAATTCACTCACATCTTCCTTAATTGAACAGTTCATTTAATTCAAGACCCCTGTGTCGAAAGTAGCTGTTGCTTGTTCACAGTGACATGAAAAAAATAAACTGTGAAACCATAGACTTTTATCAAGACCAGACGAGCACTTGTGGTGCAAAAAAGAGAAAACTAAACAACCGTTTCATTCGTGCTAAGATTATTTATCAATACTGACTACGTATCGGCCATATTCCGGAACAGAACGGTAAACATTCGGGTTTGGATTCGATTACGTTTCTTATGACCTTCACAATAGACTACCGCCTTGGTGAGTCTATGGGGAGAAGAATCGAGTTTGGTATTGGGTAATTTCATTGGAATGCGAATGCATTGTGGTATTAACTTCCTCGCGTGGAGTTCAGTCCTAAGGAGGTCCAGTTTACCTAACTTGTATGGTACATTTTGAATGAGAAATTATTGCGTGCGGTCGATAACGAAGAACCCCAAACAGTTGTTTGCTTAAGGGCTATTCAGCAAGGCTCCAAATGAATGTTGCGTTCTGAGGGCTTGACAAACGGGTAAATATATCCTTCTTGCCTCTACTGTGTACACAGTTGTTAGTTAGGTTTATTTTGGGGCATGCACTGAAGACTGAAGACATCAGAAAATTTCCCCGCCTCCAAACTGTTCACCATGAGACAGCGAGGACTGAAGAATCACTAACTTCTTATCCCTTTCATTACCAGACCAGAAAGTTCCCATTGGATTTACAAACGCTTAGCAGAGGATTCCAGAAGTCTCGATTAATGGGTGATAAAGCAAAACGATACAAACATTTGCCCAGCACATTAGTCATGAATACATCCAAACCTAATAACTGTTATTTGATCGGCAAAGTCATACGGAATATTTGATGAGCTATATGTGCCCCTCTTACCATCTTATGATAGAAAAACGTTCAACAACTGACAACATTCCTTAGTCCCGAGACTGTTTGCTGCCGGTGTGGTCAACCGGTGCTGCCTAACCGCCCGCAGTTAGTTGCATTATTCACATGCTGCGCAACGTATTCAGCCTCGACTAACTGCCACACGCAATCAGAAATAGAAGTTGGGACCAAAATCTCAGTTTAACATTTGCGTGTCAAAAGATTAAATAAAAAATAACTGATGCAATGCAACCCCATTTTTTGGGCAACACGGTTACCTAGGTTGACTCGACAGCCTTTCCAAAGAATGACAACTTATCGTTGAAATACTCGCAAACAATGGACACATCTCATACACGACATTTGTATTCGAAACACGTTAATCAGCGGGTGCCTTGGTTTCTTTTCTAACGGTCACGAACTCAATGATCCT